TTTTAATTATATATTTTATGGGATTCACAAGTTTTTAATCACATATTTCATCAACTTTTATAAAAAATTACTAAAATTCTGATTTTAATCCCATTGGGGCTAAGCTGTAATTTGATCATTGAAAGGGTCAATTCTTGATATTTACGGGTAGTAAAGTTCATGACTTAAAAGTGCAGGGTAGTGGTAGGCCCAAGACTGGCCTAAAGTCATGTTGTGAATTTGAATTGATTGGTGAACAAGTTGAGCATAGTCAAGATGTGAATTGGTCATTAAAGAAAGCGGGAAAAATATGACCAAACAGCACGTGTCATTTTCGTGCTTTGCCGGGTCTTTGTGGGGATCCAATGCACACCACTTATCGGCCTGCACAAGGACAGGCGGGTATGACATTTCAAATTCAAATAGAAGTTTCTGAAAAGGATGGATAGTAATTGAACAGCCTCCAAATTTATGATTAGGCATATGGTGACACGAATTGTGTGTTTGAGGCACATTATTTTGGATGAATATATTTTAAAATAGTGGATTGATGGAGAATGTATGATTGAAAAAGAAAAAAAAATTATTGATGTGATGAAAAATATTATTTTATTGAAGAATGTGTGGTTGAAAATGAGTGGAATAATGAAAATGAAAATTTTAATGTGACTCAAACAAGGCCGAAGTACAAAAAATGCTCATAAGATATAAAGTTGATCATTTTGAACTCCTAGTCTTCTCAATTGGTTAGGTCTTCTGAACTAAATTTGTTGGAGGTCAAGTTGTACACCCCCTCTGAAGTTTGTAATGTTTAATTAGTATTTTTGTATTAACAAATATTCTACTAGCATTGTAGTTTGATTAAAAAAGGATAGATGGGTCCATGTCATAGATAGAAGGCAAATAGCTTTCAATTTTCTAAAAGAATAAAATAAACCAAAAAAGACTTGCAAGTAGCGAAATAGACAAATATAGAGATCCAGTCAGGAGTAATGCTTTTTAACAATGCTCTCTTGTTGTTTGTTTGGTGGAATGACATTTAATATCTAACTGGACTGAAGAAACTTGAGGCACACAAACTTTCCATTTGATACAAGACCACAAATAAAGTACTTACTCTAGTTATAATTAATATAAAAGAAATTACATCAGATCGACAAAATTTTTAAGTGTACGATATCGTAGCCAAGTAATAGAATTGTGAATAAGATATTGATTCCACGAGGACAATGCACTTACTCTAGTTATAATTAATNNNTGCACTTACTCTAGTTATAATTAATATTAACTTTAATCAAATAATCAATTTGTGAATTGTGATTTTATAACTAATTATCTAACTAAACTAATGAGCAACTACGAAGCGGTTGTAAAATCGATTACAACACACACTATGATTTTGAATCCCCCCTTTATTAGTCCGTTTTAATACATGTGGCAGTTTGTTAATCATATACTTGAAAGATTTAGGATTACGGGTGCAATAAATGAAATGTTAGTGTAAAACCTAGAAAGCTTTGACAACTTTGGGGCCGTTGCTGCAATTATCCCTTATTTTATCGAGAGATTGTGGTTCAAAATGAATTTTTAAAAAAATAAGTTTAAAAGAAATGTGAACTTGAGTATTAGTTGACTTTGATATCTTGGGGAAGCACGAGGCAAACGGAAGGCTAACTCCTTATAAAAAATAAAATGTGTACATATTTCTAGTATTTATACCTCCAATCCAGCATTGTTAGCTGCAGTAAGAAAAAGTGTCATGCAGAAGGCTAATTACTTTCTTTGTGCAATTTTGTTGGTACAGTGTCTAATGGCCTGCAAAGCCATGGCAACAACAAATATTACTACCGATCAATCTTCTCTTCTTACCTTCAAAGCCCACATAAATTTAGATCCTTCACACATTTTATCGAAAAATTGGTCGGTTTCTACTTCTGTTTGTGTCTGGATGGGAGTTTCCTGTGGTCTTCGCCACCAAAGAGTGACTGCCTTGGATATTTCTAGCATGAATCTTACTGGGAAGATACCTTCCAAATTGGGAAATCTATCCTTCCTTGTTTCTATCAACTTAAGCAGAAACTATTTTCATGGGAATGTTCCTCAAGAAATGATTCAACTCCGACGGCTAAAAATCCTGGACTTCCGTTCTAACAACTTCGGTGGCGAAATTCCTTCATGGCTTCATTTCTTATCTAAATTACAAGTTTTGAATCTTAGAGAAAACAGTTTTACAGGTTTCATCCCACCTTCTCTCTCTAATATATCCACGCTCCAGCATTTGGATCTCTCTTCCAATCTTCTACAAGGGAAAATCCCGAAAGACATTGGAAATCTTCATAACTTGAAATCTCTTGGATTACAGACTAACGGTCTATCTGGTGTAATACCATCGCAGGTTTTCAACATATCGACATTGGAAATTCTTGCTCTTACAAAGAATCACTTAATTGGTAATCTCCCTCTTCAAATATGCCATGGCTTCCCAAGACTCCAGGGGCTTTATCTATCTAAAAATATATTGGGTGGTGAAATTCCTTCCAATCTATCAGAATGTTTACAACTTCAGACGCTTTTTTTGTCAGACAACAAATTTAGTGGATCCATTCCAGGAGAAATTGGGAGAATAAGGACGCTTCAGATTTTATATCTTTCTACAAATCATTTGTCCGGTAAATGAATCATGATTGATGTTGCATTAGTACTATAGTTTTTTGTTTGAATAGATCAACATTTTCGTAATTGCAGTCTCTCATTCTGATTTAGCAATTTGACAGGTGCAATTCCACATGAGTTGGGTAATCTGGAGAACCTCAAGGAGTTGAGCATGGGATTTAATTTTTTTAGTGGCTCTATACCAGCCAGTATCTTTAACATCTCATCATTGCAAGTTATTGAGCTTCAATATTGCAACGTATCTGGTAAGTTTTAATTAGATTCAAAAGAACTTTTACATTTGTCCTAAGATTAAAGAATGATTTTTCTTTTAAAGTTTGAGAACTTTATAATTTTGTAGGCGTAATCCCACAAGAGATTGGCACTCTTTACAACTTGAAGAGTCTTCATTTATGGAGCAATAACTTAAATGGACCAATTCCAAACAACCTCGGGAATTTGAGCTTCATTGAAAAAGTAGACTTGTCTTGGAACAACTTCATTAGTGAATCTCCAGAATTGAGCTTCATCACTTCATTGACAAACTGTAGATATTTAACAGAATTGGATTTTAACAACAATCCTTTGAATGGCATTCTTCCAGTTTCAGTTGGAAATCTTTCTACTTCTCTTCAATATCTTTATGGTTATAATTGTGGTCTCAGAGGTAGCATTCCAAACGACATTGGCAATCTCACCAGTTTGATAAAGTTAAGTCTGTTTGGCAATGAATTGACAGAATCAATTCCAGCAAGCTTGGTGAATTTGCAAACGCTTCAAGAATTATCTCTTGTTCACAATAAAATAAGTGGATCTATCCCAGACTCTCTTTGTGAACTTAAAAATTTAAATGGATTGTTGTTGTCACAAAATCTAATAACAAGTGCTATTCCAGAGTGCATAGGGAATATTACTACACTAAGACGTCTAAATATCGATACCAACAGATTGACTTCCCCCATACCTGCAAGCTTGTGGCTCCTGAAAGATCTTCTGGAGTTGAATCTATCTACAAATACTTTGAGTGGCTCTCTACCTCAAGAAATTGGGAACTTGAAAATGGCAAATCGTATTGATCTATCAGTCAATCGTTTCTCAGGTAGTATTCCAAGCACAATTGGAGATTTACAGACCTTGAGTAAT